CACACACACACACACACACACACACACACACACGTGAATAGACAAACATCAATACATTTTCCGTTCCTTTCACAGATGCGAGTGCCCTGCTGGCAAAGCCGGTCCTACCTGTGACGCAACCGTCTTCGACTGTCGTCTGTTTCCGTGTCTCAACACAGGCGTCTGCGCACCTTCCGGTTCCTCCCACGTGTGCACATGCACCACGCCCTTCACGGGTCAGCGCTGCGAGCAGAGTCTCGATCCCTGCCTACCTAACCCTTGTCTCTTCGGTGGACAGTGCTTTCTGGACGCCTCGAAGCAGTCCGGTTATGGGTGCCGATGTGCGGATGGCTATCTCGGTTCTCGATGTGAGGCCGATGTGTACGATTGCTTGTCTAACCCGTGTCAGAATGGAGGCACCTGTGTAGAGGGAATGTTTGCAAAGCCGCAGCAAAATGAAGGAGGAGGAACAGGAGGAGGAGGAGGAGGGTCAAGTCTGTCCCAAAATACAAATAATCTTCCTCAGAACAGTAACGATAACACATCTCCAGGGACATCTTCAACAAACACGAACGCCGCAGGAGGGAGCGGGATGAATGCGGCAGCAGGAGAGGCTGGTGGTGTGAGTGTCCAGCTAAGCACTCAAGAGCCCCGCTACGTCTGCGAGTGTCCGGCCGGCTTCACGGGGACCCTGTGTGAGCTGGACGTTGTCTCCTGCATGTCTGCGCCCTGCAAGAATGGCGGGAACTGCTTGTCCCGACAGGGCGGAGGTAATGCTATCAAAACTGTCTAAGACTACCTCCAAAATTGTTGAGAAGAAAATAAACGACCTCTAAGACGGGTTGTTTGGTAGATCATTGTCGGCTGCATATTTTTCTTTTTTAAATATAGGTATTTTTACACACCAGTCAACACAATTTAGACAGTTTAGGAGGCCGGCCTCTGACCTTGTCTGTCAGCGTCAACCCGGGCTTAAAGGGATGCAATTAATATCCCAGCAGAAAGACAAAGATACTCAATAAAAATTCACCTCACTCTGGATTCAAGCTTGGGTTTCCTTCGTGCAACAGCGAACCGCCTAACCGCTTCACCACAGACGCCGGTAGGTTGGAGTAATGCCTGTTATGTACATGTATGTGGACTGGTGGCTCCTGACAGACCCAGTTAGAGAGCAGCAGTCACAGTGGCCAGCAAATCATAATATATTTTATTTCGACTATGTAAACAAATTTGTAAGTATTCTACGAAAGAAATTGATTTTATAATTTTGATGTTTCTGTATACTGTTACTCCAGGATTCTCCTGCGAATGTTTAGCCGGCTGGGCGGGTGACCAGTGCCAAGATGACGTCAACGAATGTACAGTCAGTCCAGGCCAGTGCCAGAACGGAGGTCAGTGTGTGAACCGGGCCCCTGGATTCAGGTGAGTCTTACAGACCTACTTTGTTAACCTGTGGATCCTTTCGTTGTTGGTGTAATGTCTCTTGCTTTATGATGAGTGTTTATTCCAGCGTTCAGATAGATAGATAGATAGATGGACAGATAGATAGATAGATAAATAGATATATAGATAGACAGATAGATAGATAGATAAATAGATAGATAGATAGATAGATA